ACGTTTCGATGTCTATCAGACACTTTCCTCAGAGCTTCTGACTGGAGTTCTGCAACTCGCCGCTATTTAACGCCAATGTAGGTGGCGCTTTTTGCGGCGAGAATGCAACCAGGACCAGGACCATGGTGGTCATCCCATATGTGAAAGGTGTCACCGAACCATTAGAAAGGATCCTTAGAAAACACCGGATAACCACAGCAGTTAAACCTAAAACAACATTGAGGAACTTGCTTGTCCACCCTAAGGACAAGTTGGGGGACCATGTGAAAACGGATTGTGTTTACAAAATTCCTTGCAAAAGTTGTACTGAAGTGTACATTGGAGAGACTGGAAGGACCTTTGGCAAAAGACTGGAAGAACACAGAAAAGAGGCAGACAACAGCGAAGCCATAAGATATACACGATCCCAGAAACAGCAAGCACAAAAAGAGAGAAGAAATCGGCAGTTACAGATCATGTTGCCTGGAACAATTGTGTGATAGACTGGGAGGGTGCCAGGGTTATAGATAGAGAAGACAATAGAAGGATCCGTTGGATTAAAGAAGCAGTCTGGATATGGAAGTCAACCCCAGTGATGAACCGGGACGAGGGGGGAGTACAAGCTCAGCCACGTTTGGGATTGCATTCTCGCCGCAAAAGCGCCACCTACATTGGCGTTAAATAGCGGCGAGTTGCAGAACTCCAGTCAGAAGCTCTGAGGAAGGTGTCTGATAGACATCGAAACGTAAGCAGGTGAGAACCTTACTGGTTGTGTAAGAAGAAAATTCTATACCCTAAGTATCTTCCAACCTGATGAAATTATTTACGGGGACACTGTTCACTCCTCCACAGGTGTTTCACTCTGCATCACTTCTGTCTTCTGTCTCCTTCTGTCTCTGTATCTCTTGTAAACACACTGTCCACTCTTCCACAGGTGTTTCACTCTGCATCACTTCTGTCTTCTGTCGCCTTCTGTCTCTGCATCTCTTGTAAACACACTGTACACTCCTCCACAGGTGTTTCATTCTGCATCACTTCTGTCGCCTTCTGTCTCTGCATCTCTTGTAAACACACTGTACACTCCTCCATAAATGTTTCACTCCTTCACAGGTGTTCCACTCTGCATCACTTCTGTCTTCTGTCGCCTTCTGTCTCTGCATCTCTTGTAAACACACTGTACACTCCTCCAGAGGTGTTTCACTCCTTCACAGGTGCTTCACTCTGTATCACTTCTGTCTTCTGTCTCCTTCTGTCTCTGCATCTATTGTAAACACTATACACTCTTCCACAGGTGTTTCACTCCTCCACAGGTGGTTCACTCTGCATCACTTCTGTCTTCTGTCTCCTTTCTGTCTCTGCATCTCTTGTAAACACACTGTACACTCCTCCACAGGTGTTTCACTCTGCATCACTTCTGTCTCCTTCTGTCTCTGTATCTCTTGTAAACACACTGTCCAGTCCTCCACAGGTGTTTCACTCTGCATCACTTCTGTCTTCTGTCTCCTTCTGTCTCTGCATCTCTTGTAAACACACTGTCCACTCCATCTTCAGTGTCATTCTACATGTTTCAGAGCCAGGATGGCCAAAGGGTACATAAGTCTGGCAATTGTTACAATATACTCTTCCCATACCCCGGGTTCAACATCTTCTCCACAACTCTAGCTCCAAGAAGTAAATCTTTTATCCGACTGTTGATGTACAGCTGCCATCACTCCAGTGCCCAGTTTATCTGTTAGCACGTCTGCTAGAGTTGCCCTGAGTGTGTTGAACTTGACGCAGTGAGATATCATATGCCCCACTATGTCTTGTGTCAGTGTTTCACAAGCTGGGCAAGGTTTAGCACTGTGGCACGCAGGAACTGTACTCAGGTGCACCAACGCCTGTAGGGTTTTCTGGTGGTTGGGTAGTTTCCTTGCCAATGACCGCAGTTTGTGAGGTTCAGTATTTGTTCCATGTATTCTGGTGAATCTGGTCTTGCCATTGTCTGACGCAATCCAGTTCCTCTCCTCTTTGTCCCTCACCGCCATTTTCACCACTCTTTTCCACACAGTGTTGGATGGGAACTCTGTTGTAAGCCAGTATTTTTCAAAATACTCTGTCAGGCCGTACTCCTGTGCAACTCTGTACACGTCACTGATGAACCCTCTGTTGACATGGCGTGCTCTTCTGATGATGTATGAATACAGTCTCAGAAGAAAGACTCTCTTGGCTAATGTGCTGCTTGGGAGGTTAGCCAGTCTGCCAAAGAAGCACAGCTTGTGTTTGTCTATCACTGCCTTCAAGGGGAGCATCCCCAAGGCGCCCAGGCTCTCTCTGGTCTCTGTCTGTGGGTGCATACTCTGCATCCGTTTCACTCCGCTCCTGTGTACTCTTTCAAGTTTTGCCAGGTCTGTTTGGGTAGGAACCCACAGTTCACAGCCATGCAGCATGCTGGGTAGTGTAATTGTGTTGTACAGTACTTTTGTGACTAAGGGGTTTGGAGTGTGACCTTCTGTTCCTGTGGCCAAATTAGTACTGATCCTCCCTTTTCCTTTCTTGCAGGCAGTTTCTATGGCAAAGGATGATGTCCCATTTGCGGAATGTTGTACTCCCACATGGGTGATTGTGTTTTCTTCTGGGATTTCCGCAGCTCCCATAACCCATCTATGTTCTGACTCTGTCATGTGCCCTCTACCGCTTCCTTGTGTAAATACAATGCATTGGCTCTTGGTCGGTGCAAACTGGAATCGCCATTTCATTCCGTACTGGTGCATTGTATCTATCATCCGTTGTAGTCCTTTTCTAGTACCTGCTAACAGGCATTCATTCATTCATTCATTCATTCATGCTTTCCTTCATGTTAAGTGTTAACTTGACACGGGCTACTGCCCAATACACTCTTGAAGAAAGATCCCATGTGTTATAGTTTTTAAGCAGAGATTGCTTTAGAAGGACTAACACCTTATTCTAAGCGACGTTTTCTACGTAAGTAAGAGGGAAAGCTACCATTTGCAAAGCAAATGTATAATGTTAACCTTCGCGTGGTCCAGAGCCCAAAAAAGGTCTTCTAAGCTTATTCTTACTAACATTCTTGCATACATTTACATTTATGTATACAATGGTGAATGACGTCCAGGTATTTGATCTAATTTCCTTGGAGAAGAAGAAGATGAACATCAGCAAAAACAGTATGTTTTCCGAAAACATACTGTTTTTGCCCAGTTTCTTCTTCTTCTTCTACTTCTTTTTCTTGGAAGGTAATCATAAATACCTTTGTAACGGTCCCGTAAACGGCGATAGTGGTGAGGACGATGGAAACCTCTGCAGGACCGAAGTTGTAGCCGCCATGTCCGGGGTCAGACACCAGGAGGAGGGGTAACAACTGCAGGGTGGAAACATAACGGTGTCACGATTCGCTGGTCAATTAATAAATAGTTTTTTTTTCACAATAACATGTTTAAAAAAGAGCCGACAAGACCATCTATCACTTATATCAGGCCTATAATGACTGGTTCAGAGTGCACTAAAGCTAGGTGTTACATGGTTCACCGTGCACTGAAGCTAGCTAGGTGTTACATGGTTCACCGTGCACTGAAGCTAGCGATGTGTTACATGGTTCTCCGTGCACTAAAGCTAGCTAGGTTCACCGTGCACTAAATCTAGGTGTTACATGGTTCACCGTGCACTTAATCTAGGTGTTACATGGTTCACCGTGCACTGAAGCTAGGTGTTACATGGTTCACCGTGCACTGAAGCTAAGTGTGACATGGTTCACCGTGCACTAAAGCTAGGTGTTACATGGTTCTCCGTGCACTTAAGCTAGGTGTTACATGGTTCACCGTGCACTAAAGCTAGGTGTTACACGGTTCACCGTGCACTAAAGCTAGGTATTTCATGGTTCACTGTGCACTGAACCTAGGTGTTACATGGTTCACCGTGCACTAAAGATAGCTGTTACATGGTTCACCGTGCACTGAAGCTAGGTGTTACATGGTTCTCCGTGCACTGAAGCTAGGTATTACATGGTTCACCGTGCACTAAAGCTAGGTGTTACATGGTTCACCGTGCACTAAAGCTAGGTGTCACATGGTTCACCGTGCACTGAAGCTAGGTGTTACATGGTTTACCGTGCCCTGAAGCTAGTTATTACTGTAAAAATTCAGTCCAAAGTAAACAAGTGAAACTATTGTGACCTACACTGTAGATACCAGAATGTATGATTGTTACATCAAGGCCTGAATTTGACACACGGTCACCGAATCGCCAGCTCAATCAAGCTATATAGTGGTGGAGAAACATCGTGAAATATCATCGTCTGAACATGCATTTTGGCAGGTAGGCCAGACACTCCGAGCAACATGTTAAGTGAATCCACATGTGAGTTTCTCTACACTGTGTGTGAATTCCATGGAATTCGCCTGATAACTGCCATCATAAGTCTACAACGTTAGGGATAGCAAGTTCATGCCAGAGGGCTAAATAAAAACTGATATTAATAAGGGCAATGATTGAAGAATGTATTGAAAAATGGTATTGAACCATATGGACACATGACGTTCTACGTTCTTAATCTAACTTTATATCTTGAGTGATTTCACACACGTTTTTCTTACATTGCGTTCTATCGAATTCGAAATTTGTTTATCTGCAAATCTTACAGGATTGAGACTAGACTAACGCTCTCGCTCGTACCGTGTAGTTGGTGCAGATACTCGCCAGCGCGTAGACAGCGTACAGCACACATGGAATCAGCACCAGTCTGTCCCGTAGGATGCCCATGATGGACTCCTTTGGTCCTGTCGGGGACAAAATGCAACCTTTCACACTTTGTTTCAATGTAAAACTTTTGTTCCAACACTAAAGCTACATGTACATGCTCTCATCTAGAGCTTACAACAAGTCACTTTGGTCCCCATCAGTAGACTGACCCAGAGAGACTTGTCACGTGGCTTCTTTGAAGTATGACGTCAACACTGGATCAAACGTATCCGATTTCATACTTCAGAGAAGCCACGTGACGATTCACTGGGTCAGCCTTAGGAAGACCATGGGGACTGGTAGAACGAATAGAAAGATTTTTAAAAAGTTTAATACTAGCATTATATGTTTGAGATAACTTGTAGCCGAAGCAGGTTTACTCACGTTTTTCATCGTCGTCTTCGGCAGATATTTCAGATAGATCAATGTACTCATCTTTGGGGGTTTTACCCCGAGATTCGGTCAAAAGAATGCAGCCAACTGTGTAAAAAAAGTTCATACGACTAAATATCAGGTATTTTTGTAATACCTTAAGGCCACACCAATTTAATTTCTTGGTTGACGAAATCGTCCGCTTCATTTTTTTCTCATTTGCAAAAAAGAAAAAAAAACAAATCAGAATCAACTGCAAAATTTTCATATTTTGCCCTGAACAGTTGAAAACAGTACTTCCTAGTTCTCCCTGTTTTTTACAGTTATTCCATCTTTCAATGCAGTGGTAACATTAAAAGTTCAAAATTTATTGTATTAATTTTGAACCAGCCCGGTGTGTTGACTTCATGGCTCCTATCGTACCATTTTTGGCCATAATAGGATGGCTAGGCCTGTTTTTATGTCTATTTTTCGCCCGCCCGCTCCATTATTTTTCTAGAAAAATCCGTTCAACCAAGAAATTAAATTGGTGTGGCCTAATGATCGGACACAAGGAATCTAGATGGCAACACTTTTTAAAACCGTGCTTTAAGACAATCAAATACACTTTTGTAAAGTAAAGTACACTTCTGTGCAAAGTAAAACCTCTGTCACGAATTTAGCCCATCAGATCCCGAACACTAGACGAACGCCATGGTCAGGAGTAGGTCAGTACAGAGTCGGTTCTTGTTCGGTCAATTTAGCTGTTCATAGTAATCCACTGCAAAAGGCTAGATTTTCCAAAATAGTGAAAAAAAAAACATTCGGGGGTCGGTCGGGAGGTTCAATCAAAGTTTGCTGACCAATCAAATACAAAGAAGACGTGCACGTCATGTATAGACTGACCTATCAGAATGCAGAATTGTAAACACGCCACTACTGCGCAGGGCAGCAGGTACGGGAACTGCCTAAAGATCGGGATGTCAAATGTCTGGAATCTCGTTGCTGGACAGGCCAAAAATCCACCCAGTGTAGGACCCTGGGGAAGCGTAAAGGCATTGATTAGACGGCTGGGAAAATAAAATACTAAACTGAATTGTTACAGCGATTTTACCATTGGAAATGCATTGTTACCGTAACAGTACACAGTAAACCGGTCACAAAAGGTGACAGATTCGGCTCTAATAAAACGTATGGTTCTAAATGTTACTACCCCGGGACGTGATGTGCCGTGAGGCACTTTGTTCCTTATCATGTAGATGCAGATACTCATTACTAATCTAATGAAACTAATCTAAAGTACCTGGCTGTTGAGGTACTGTGTATTTGTTGTATGTATTTTTATGTTTATCCAGGATTACCTGAAAAGCAGGCCAAAAATGGCATGGGCTCTAATTACTGGTAAAACAAATAAACTAAAACTGAAAGCATTTAAGGAAACATTCTACTAGTTGAAAAGACAAGAAGTACAAAAACTATTTTGTGGAATTTTGTGAATAGAGGGATGACATACTCACCACAAATAGGGCCACATTGTTAGGCACCCAGACAAGAGAAAAGGCCAGTGAATGATACTCCGGTGGGCAAATCTGCAGATAAATAGGATACGGAGGTCGTATGGAGGATATATCTATCATGTCTATATGATTATAATTGTTGTTACCTCCATGAAATGGAAGGTATTGTTTTTGGCGCGTCTGTGTGTGTGCGTGTGTGTGTGTGTGTGTGTGTGTGTGTGTGTATGTGTGTTTGTGTTTCCGCTTTTTTGTACCTTCATAAGTTCATAACGCCTTCATGGATTGTGGTGATATTTGGTATGCTGGTAGGTGTTAGGCGGGTAGAAGGTCAAGGTCAAATATGGGCCTCCTGGTGGATGGCCTTGGTAGTGCAGTAGCACTTCCGATTTATGAGGAATCTCCTTTGCAGCCAACAGATGTGTCATTGTGTGGCTATCGAGTCAGTGCGCTTGGGACCCGGTTTGATTAATTGGGTTCCCTCAGGGGAATAGGTGACCTATTTCAGGGTTAGGGTTTGTATTAGCTGCAGGCCTGATTAGCTGTGTGTTTGAAACACTTAGTGTACTGTATACAAAAACTCATATATTTCATGGAGGCGTGTCTGTCTGTGTGTGTGTGTCTGTATGTGTGTGTGTCTGTGTGTTTGTGTTTCCGCACATTTGTAGTCAGCATAACTCCATAACGCCTTTATGGATTGCGATGATATTTCGTACGCTGGTAAGTCTTAGGAAGACAAAGGTCAAGGTCAAATATGGGCCTCCTGGTGGATGACCTTGGTACTGCAGTAGAACTTCCTGTTTTTGTATCTTTTGTCCTAAACATGCTATGGTCTTGACTTTTTGGTGACAGATAGCTTTTCCTGTCAGGAATAAGTGGCGTGAGTTTAGTCCCCCTAGCAGCTTGTTTTGGAACTGCAGGAGATTTTCGGGCGAAATCTTTAAAAGCCAATAAGTCCAGATAGGAACAAGGTATTATCATCATTTTTGGTAGGTAGGTAGCTGAGAGACAGATGTACATAATTAACTACAAATTATTCAAATGATGACTTAATTTGCATAATTAATGAGGAAATTCTATAATTACAGTGTTTTACATTATAGTACTTTCATACATGTAATGTATGTAATCTATGGCAGATGGAACATCAACAGATACCAATTCTGCAAATGATGACCTAATTTGCATAATTAATGCGAAAATTCTATGACTCCTTAGTGGTAAATGATGGGAATTTCATACTTGGTACATGTGTACGTTAATCAAAAGTTAACATCACGATGCATTTATTATGTTAATGTAGAGGTAATTTACATGATTAAAGAAGAAATTTACATTTACATGTCAAGCCCATATTTCATGGAGGTATGAGATCTCGGAACTCTTGTTTATTGATTGATCGATGAGTACAATCTCTAGCATGTGGCAGCGTAACTAAAAAGTAGCTCTGAATTGTACGCTAGTGTTTAAAAACAGAGAAACAAATATTGCACAGTTAACAAATAGACAACTAAACAAGTTAGTATTACACAGTTAACATATAGACAACTAAATAAGTGAGTTAAATGAGCTTAACAATATTTACAATATCAACCAATAAGTTATCAATATCATCAGTGTAAAAAATAACAGTTTTATAGTATGTTACATGATAACTGATAACATGATAACATGATAATGTACCTGGAATCAGAAACAAAATGACACCCATCCTTACATTTATCTGAATTACAATGTTGGCAAAATTCCTTGCTGCAGAGGATTGCAGTTATGTGCGACTTTCTCACTGTGTTGATTATATAATACATGTTCTTAATTTTGTGTCGAACTAAAATCAAGGACGTATATAGCTAATTTTACCTCATACAGATACGTCTTGGCCACAACGATGGTGCCGTTCAGAAGCCCTTCTAAAAACAGCACGCACACGGTCCACACGAAGGAGAAACTGGGAGGAAACATTACATGAATTACAGAACGTAATAATACTCTCCTTAAAAAAACGAAATAGATTAGCTTTAGTATCATTATGGACTAGCTATGTTAGATTTATATTTTAGTGTAGTTCCTGTATCTACCCTTTATTTCTTCTTTGCCATAATTGTACCATTACAATTAATGGGCAATAAATTTTTATTCATTTATTGATTAATTGATTAAATGATTAATTGATTAATTGATTGATTGATTGATTGATTGGTTGGTTGATTGATTGATTGATTGATTGATTGATTGGTTGGTTGGTTGGTTGGTTGGTTGATTGATTGATTGATTGATTGATTGATTGATTGTTAGAATTTAGCCTGGTATCCAGTCTATCGTGTTTGGGGCTGGTTGCCTTCAGGGCTCTAATTATATTTTTCCCCGTATAGCGCAAAAAAACGACAGGTAGAACTGTTATGCTCTTACAGTTTTGGTGGGACTAATTGAACCCATGTCGTGCAAAACCTACCCAGGAACATAGCTGAGTCGGGCGTGGAAGAGCCCCAAGAAGAACCCACCCAACCGATTGACTGGACACCAGACTAGTTAGAATTAAAGTTTACATGTGTTAATGCGATGAATATTGAAATGTTGTAGGCCATGTTGAATTAATTATATGGATGTCATGCCTTGGGACCCCCAAAACTGGCGCGAGCGTGCGAATAAAAACTTGTCTGTATCAAGAAAGCGACGGGGTAATGAAGGTTTAAGGAAATTGTGAAATGCAGTCCTGTGCCATGAGGTCCAGAGGTCTCACCTGAAGCCCACTAGCACCATGCCGACCAGCAGAGCCGTGGCCGAACTCAGCAGGATGGGTCTGCACAGCAAGAGACATCCGTTAATAGTTTCATCAGGTTGGTCACTGAATGGAGATACTCTTTTTACACTTCAAAATATTCAGTTGATCTAAATCACACATTGTACATAGGTGAAAGGATATGTGTCCTACCTTCTGCCAACAATGTCTGACAGCTTCCCCCACTGAAAAGCAACATAGCTTAATTGATTAATCAATCAATCAATCAATATATCTCAATGAATTAATCAATCGCCGGCAGGCATAAGAAAACCAGTCCTGTCACAGACCTAAAAAAGTCAGTCTATATGTAGCTTCTCTTATAAAATTTCTTTGACAACAGTAATTTTAAGAGTACGTCGTTAGTAGTGGAATAAGATAAACCTTTGATATTGGTGAACTGCTTTGATAAACCAATTAATATATGTACTAGTTTTCTATGCCATATCGTTATCCGTTAATCCCTTTTCAACTGTAACATCATATTCACTTTATATTTCATTCCTTCCATTGTCTTATATTTCATCCCTTATTTGTTTGGTAGAACAAGAGCTATGTAGAAGACATTTTGGTTTCTACACATTTTTTTTTTTAATTTTACAGTTATTTCTATAAACTTTCGATTATTTTCATAGTGCAAAAAAATAAACAAACAAACAAACAAACAAACCTACCACAAGGCAACCGATAAAATTACCAGTAAAAGTCGCACTTGTCAGGTAGCCAGTATAATACCCTAGCCAAAAGGGAAACAGAGAGATCGTTAAAATATTTACATAGAAAAGAAATACATGACGGCAATTGCAATGGTACAGCATTTAAGTTAATCAAAGCTGTATCGTCACATCGAACATAGACGTTAATTTATGTTCGATGGGGGTTTATACATGTATTGTGTATATATACATGTAGGCACTCTAAGCAAGAAACAAAAGGCAAATAAAAGTTCGAATTAAAAATAACTAAAAAGGTCCTAACCCACCCCATCCTTTTATCAGTTCATAAGGACTCATCCAGTTATTTATGAGCCTTGTTTAAATGAATGGATATAATTTATTTAATGAATTTAATGGGGAAGGGGGCTGTTGGCCGGTTTGTATATTGACGTTGCAGGAAGGCATTTTACACACCTTACTTAGAAATAACAAGCAACAAAGAAAATAAACTAGAAAGGCCAATATTTGCTTTGGAGCAAATACAGCGATGGGTTCACCACATTTTACGACATGGCAGGGAAAGAATGAGAAACACAAGGGAAAACAATGATTTACATTGATATAACTATAATATGAAGTAACATACAACTAAAACAACAGTTGGATAGCTATTCCCTACTTTATTGGTTAGGATTTTTAATTGCATAATGCAAACTGTTGATTTTCAAAATAAATAAAAAAACGTTCATGCCCCGCATTCCAATGCTGGAGCAGAAAAGCTTGAAATACCTACCAAAACACTTGAATAAAGACATACTGTCAGTATGGAAATGCTCTGTGCAGGTGTTAATCAAGTTAAATCCCAACAGCCAATCAGCAAGAATTATAGAGGAAAGCTGCATGCCTATTGGTTGATGCCCTGCATTCCATTGTGATGACTCATGGTAAACACGGCACACTAACACAGTAATACATTTGATATAACACAGCCACAAAACTCAAATAAAACACAAAAAATTAAAAAACGCCTAGGGGTATTTGCCCACTGTACCTCCATACCAAATTTCAGGACCTTAGGCCCTAAAATGAAGAAGCTGAATCCATTTAAAAAATGGCAGGAGAAGAAGGAGGAGAAGGAGAAGGAGGAGAAGAAACATCAGAAAAAGCAATATGGGTTCACCACCACTTCGTGGTGTGGTGAACCCATAATGAGTTTAATTTAGCATATGCAGTTATATCTTATTATTAACCCTCAAACACCCGAAGGGGCTCCATTTGGACCCCAGGCGTATATTTTAAGTGCTATTTGAAATTTTTTCATTCGAAAAAAAATTTCTCCCGTGACTTTGTTGATAAACCTTTTCTACAAGTTCTCCTAGATTTTTTTGGAGATCGGAACAAATTTGTAAAAATAACAACGGAAGTCATATGTAAGACCGTCTGGGATCCAAACGGACCCTAGCCATGTATTTGCACTTTCCTACACACAAAATTGTTCGGATTTCCTCAATATGTCTCCAAGGAAGCATAATTGCTTTGATTTTATGCAGTTTCCTAAGTTACCTCAACCTCGGGAATTATTTCATCAGGTTTTTAGAGGTCTGACAATTAGTTAAGCGTGATACTATATTCCTCAGTGACAGCACATATGTCACATTTAATACAGAGGTAGGATCTGGAATGCACGTAGGAAATGTTGGTACTTACATACAAGCTACATGGAGTAGAAACGAACACCTGGTTGTCGGTTTTTTCATTCCTTTTTTGTTCCTGACTGCAAGCAATACTTGGTTATCTGAACTGTGAAAGAAAATGGCGGCGGTTTGAAAGCAGTCGGGAGAACCGGTTTTTCTGTAACAGGAAATTAGGTCACTAATCACCTCAAACGCAGTTATAACAAGAGTTACACGATATCATACCTCCACTTAGTAATGTTAACAGTTAACGACTGAGGAAATGTTATGTTTACAATCGGAATTTTTCTATTCTTATTGGTCAATCTAGTCGCCATGGTGTTTTTGTCAGCGGGGCCCGGGTAAAATTGAAGTCAGAACTTTTTAATATGTTTCAGGTTCCAGACTGGTAGAGGATAGCCCGGTTGCCGCAGGGTGTTCCACGGGGTCACATAGAGGTCACGCCGAATAAAATTGTGAAAAAAAATACCACGAACTACCCAACAGGGCGTCTTTTTTTTCCAACTGGCACCTAATCATATAATAAAGGGTGGCTGGGAGTGAGAAACATCGGGATTCCGTGATAGGAAGGGCCGAAAATGTATGTAGGAATCATCATTCTTCCCCCCTTAAACCCGAGTCAGAGACAGAAGACGGGTATTAATCTCCAGTTGTCGTCGCTGTCGTCACTCGAAACCTATCTTACGGGGACCGACTAGGAATTCTTATTTCAAACTGTGATTTCAAACGCAAAGTATTTTAGTCATTTTCCACAATTTACAACTGCATCAAGAAAACTAATAAAGATTTTAGTGGAAAAATAAAAAGCACAACCTGGTCAGAACATGACCGGATACTTTTCTGGTCGGGTGTATATTTTGGAGGCCTCAACATGCATGCAAGGTGCCGGTAAAGTTAGACCATGAGTTGTCCAAGTGTTGCGACTTACCGCAGGAATTTCGGGATAGGCCGATCACGGTGGGATTCGCGTCTGAAGGTGTTCTTCCTTTGCTGCGTGGTTAGACCCGAAGAACCATATCGAAATTCCCGGGCCAAATATCCAAGAACAGATCTCTTTGAGATGGCCTAAATGTTTGGATACCCTGGAAAGTTGTCACATCTAACGTTTGTCTAAGAGTGAGTCATCTAAAGGCAACGTGGGGCTATGTAATTGAACGGGCAAATCTCTACCCTTAAGCAAATATAGTACCATAAT